AAAGGCCAGAAAGTCCCCTCCAAATCCTGAAAACTTTCAACAAGGAACAAAATCAGCCCATCCTTTTCTAATTAGATGTGACAATTCCACCCACATAAAGTTTCCATAACTCCTTGAAGACTGAAACCAACTCTTAGTAGACTAAGGTAAATGCATGATCACTCACAAAAAGGGCATACCTAGCTCTTTGGGTTTAAAGCAAATATAACTAATTATAAAGGAAAAGAATACATAAAACATCTATTCAATATTTACTCAGAGATGTTTTTCCAGATTCCTTTTTACTTATAGAAATAACAACTCCGTGATAAAAGAATTTCAGAGGCTTTATTCTTGTCTTTCTTTTCCATCTCCTTTCCTCGAAAATAGAAAAAGAATTTCCGAACCACTCTTTGTAGGCATTTGGTAAAACAAAAGAACTAAATAGGACAGATTTAAACAGGACAACATAGAACAAGACAAGCTAAAATAATGTTTGATATTTATGGAATTGGGAAAAGCAGATTTCTTCTTTTTATGTGTGGTAATTAGTGGAAACACAAAACGTGGCATACAATTATTAGTTATTTAAAAAACAAATGGCATACAATTATTAGACAATTATTACAGTATCCTTTCATTATCTCGTATTTCGATTTTTGGACCAAATAAAATGATATTATTCATAAAAAATATTATCCATAATTAAGTATTGAATTAGAATGATCTTGCCGCTCAATAATAATAAAAACATTTTTAACTAGCTTTTTATTTAGTCAATTTTTTGACAAAATATCAAACTATTATATATAGACAAGTTGCTCACAAAATAGAAGTAAATTTAATTCATATGTTCTCAAGACTTGAAGAAAGGAGGTGAGGATAAAAATAAAAACGAGTTAGGAGATTGTTTTACATATAGTTATTCTATGAAGAAATATACGAGTATTTCAAAAAAATGAAGAAATATATGAGGGTAACTTTGAAAACTTGAGAAATTGAGTTCCTAACAACTTGGCAACAGTTTTGTCAACCAAAATGAACAATTTGTCCTTAAATCATGAATTTTTGCTGCTCCAATAAACTTTTTCTACCCTCAAACTTAGGACTGGACAGTTTGGTTATGTCCGGTACCATGATTTTAGTCAAACA